ATAGTTCAAAGATTTGAGTAAACAGATCCAAAAGGTCAGTCTAGTATACCTTGGGTCTCAGGATGAGAGTTCTAGAGGGTGCTTTTGGGATTGCTGAGCAAAATCACATAGAAAAGAGGTAAAACAGGTTGCAGAGCTGAAACCATGCCCCTGGGCTCCAGGACTGCAGAGCATCTGTGGGCTGGGGTTATCCCAAGAAATAATAAGAACGGTAATAAAAGTAACCATCACTGCTGTAAATGTGTCTACTTAGGCTGGGCACAGCGTATTCATAATGTTATTCCGTACTGTTTGCAACACCCCCACGAGGGGTGTTTTTAATCGTCATGTTACAGATAAGGACATCAAAGGCTCAGAGCAAGCTGCAAAGTGTCAGATTTATGATCCAGACAGTTCGCCTGCCTCCAAATTGTGTGCCCGTCTCTCCAGAAAGCTTTTCTCACACACTTGAGCAAGAGTCCAATTAAGAATCCTGGCTGCGGGCTGAGCTGTTCAGATGCTGAGGGCCAGGAAACTGAGCCCTTGGGCATAAAACTGAGGTCCTTTCCAAGTTTTTCTGGCAAAGCACCTTCATTTTAGCGGTTTTTACTTTTCCATTCCACTGGAGGTTATTTTTCTGATTTCTCTCGCTCATCATAAAATCAGTATTTTTCTACTGTTGTGTGAAAACAAGCTACAGGATTCTACTGTCTTTCTACCAGTCCTCATGATGTTTTTGCTTCCTTCCTTTCTAAAGGAGAGCTTTCGAATGCTAATCCTTCCCCCTCTCCCACTCTTAATTCCTGCTTGCTGAGATCCTCTGGTAACTTTACTTCTGAACTATTATTACATTTTCCTTTGCCATATAAGTCTTCAACTCTTCAGTTTTGAGACTCTTCGACACTTAGATTACACATTCCCAAGCTTTCCACTGCCATGTATTTAGATTTAACGATGTGTGTTGGAGAGCGCGTTGCATAGCGTTCTTACATATTTTCTTGAACTTCCTTTAGTGTTCAAGGAAGTGTTCAACACTCTTCCTTAGTGTTTTCCTCAGCTAGGATACATGTGGGATAAATCATCTCAATCATCACATATTCATCAGTAGGTTTATTTTTACTCTGGGAGGCGAAGGGCATCTTGGCTGAGAGCAGGGTTTTCTGATTACATTCCTTTCTTTGAATGTGTAATAGATATTCCACAGTCTCCTGCCTTCCATTGTTGCCATGGAGTCCTAGTCTAGGGCCAATCAGATACTTTGTCCTTTGTCTGGAAGCCTGTAAGATTTCCCTTTATCAAGGGAAATCAGCAATTCAGAAAACTAACCAGGAGATATCTAGGAATAGATGTATTATTTATTTTTTAATCCTGCCTGGAACTTGCTAAATCTTTTCAAGGTGATGACTTCAGTTTATTTAAATCAGAACTTTTGTTCTTTGTTTTGAGATGTTTTTCCTCCACCTTCTCCTTCCCCCTCCCCTTCCCCTCCCCCCTCCTTTCTTCTCTCCTCTTTTTCCTCCTCTTCATCTTCCTCCTCCTCCTCCTCCTTGTTTCTCTTCTTTCTCTTCTTCAGATATTTCTTCTGTTTGATCATCACACCATTAATTAGATTCTCAATTTCATCGTCTCTCCCTTTTTTATGTTTTCACTGAATAATTTAGCTTCAGAATAATGCTGGCTAGGTCCAGAGAGTTCTTGAGTGCATGCTTATGTATTTATTACTTGTTTATTCATTATTATAGTCGTCTTCTGTCTCCTCTGCCAACTAGTACAGTAGAAGCTAACCCAATTCTGGATGTTCTGGTTGCTCTTTATTAGGTTTTTTTTTTTTTTTTTTTTTGGCTGTTGGGTTGCCCAAGACCATTTCTTTCTTGCTTTTTTTAAACTTCAAGTATAATGAATAGACAGTGTTATGTTAGTAAATACAGTGTACAATATATAGTGATTCAACAATTCTGTACATTTCTCAGTGCTCATCAAGATGCTAAGAACATTTCTTTGTTTGCTCTTGGCTCTAACTGCCCCCGAGGGTTGGTCAAGCTATGGAGGTGCGTTAAGCAGAGGGGAAGCTGTGAGTGATACCGCAGATGCAGGGGTAGATCTGCAGGGGACAGGCAGACAAGCTGTAACTCGTTCCTTGGTCAAGTGTCAGTGAGGAACTCCCTGCTCCCTTTCTTCTCATCAGTAAAGGCTAGTGTTCCTCATGGAAAGAGGATGTATCCAGTTCAGCTGCCCCAGGGTGTCTGGCAGTACTTCCTGGCCCACTTGGAAGCCTTTTGGTCATCTTCTCGAATGGAGATCCACAGATCGTTTTAAGGCAATCTCTCCCTAAGAGCCAATCCTTATCCTACAGTTCTTCCCCTATACTTCAGAGATGCTGGTCGGATGTTTAACAATGGTGCCAAGACTATTCAATGAGAAAAGAGGAACCTTTTCAACAAATGGTACTGAAAAATGACATAGCCACAAGCAAAGGAGTGAAACTGAGGGGCACCTGGGTGGCTCACGGTCCAACTTCAGCTCACGCTTTGTGACTTTGAGCCCCGCATCTGAAGCGCAGTGCCCACTTCAGATCCTTTTGTCTCCCTCTTTCTCTGCCTCCCCCACCTATGCTCTATCTCTCAAAAATAAATAAACATTAAACAGATTTTTTTAAAAAAAGGAATGAAACTGAATGCTTACCTCACACAATATATAAAAATTAGCTCAAAGTGGATTAAAGACCTAAATGTAAGAGCTGAAACTATAAAATTCTTAGGAAAAACTGAGGGGTAAATCTGTAGTACCTTGAATTTGGCAATGCATTCTTAGGTATGACACCAAAAGCACATGCAACAAATGAAAAAACATCCAAACATTGGGTTTAATCAAAAATTAAAGACTTCTATGCTTCTAGGGTCATAATCAAGAAAGTAAAAAGACCACATACAGAATGGAAGAAAATATTTGGAAATAATACATCTGATGAGAGACGTGTAGCTGGATTACATAAAGAGCTCTTACAATTTGATAATAAACAGACAAATCACACATTTTTTTAAATGAGGAAATGATCTGAATAGACATTTCTCCAAAGAAAATCTACAAATGACCAATAAACGTGAAAGGATGCTGGATATCATCAATCATCAGAGAAATGCAAATCAAAGCCACAATGAAATACCATTTTACACTTGCTAGAATGGCTAGAATCAAAAAATCAGGGGGGCCTGGGGGACTCAGCTGGTTAAGTGTCTGACTCTTGATCTCAGCTCGGGGTCATGATCTCATGGTTTGTGAGATCAAGCCCCGGGTAAAGCTCTGCACTGACATCACAGAGCCTGCTTGGGATTCTCTCTCCCCTTTTTTCTCTGCCCCTCCCTGGCCCGTGCTCTATTGCTCTCTCTTTCTCTCAAAATACATAAATAAAGTTAAAAAAAAAAGTCTGATAATGACAAGTGAAGATGTGGCTAAATCAGAACCCTCATACACTGCTGGTGGGAATGTGAAATGATGCAGCCACTTAGGAAAGCAGTCTGGCAGCTTCTCAAATAATTAAATTTAGAGTTTCCATTTGACCCAGGACATCTACTCCTAAGTAACAACCTAGATGGAAACAACCCAAATACCCATCAGGTGATGAACGGATAAACAAAATGGGATATATCCATACAATGGAATATTACTTAGCCCTACAAAGGAATAAAATACTTATACTTGCTGCAGCATGGGTGACCTTGAAAATATTACGCTAACTGGAGTGCCTTGGGTGGCTCAGTCATTTGAGCATCCAACTCTTAATTCTGGCTCAAGTCATGATCTCATGGTTCGTAGGTTCAAGCCCTGAGTTGGGCTCCGTGCTGTGGAGTCTACCTGGGATTCTCTCCCTTTCTTTCTGCCCCTTCCTATGAGCGTGCACTCTATTCCTCTCTCAAAAAATAAATAAGTAAACTTAAAAAAAAGAAAAAAAGAAAAAGAAAAGAAGTGAAAGAATCCAGTTACAAAAGATGGCTTATTATGTGATTCCATTCATATGAAATGTCCAGAATTGACAAATCTATAGAGACAGAAAATCGATTAGTGGTGCCCAGGGCTGGTTGATTGTTGGGGGTTGGGAGCAGTGGATAAAGAAGAGGAGGGGGACAAAAGCAAATAGCTCGAGGGTGAAGGTTTCTTTTAAAGTGCTGAAAATGTTCTAAAATTGTGGTTGCAGGGGGGCCTGGGTGGCTCAGTCAGTTAAGCGTCCGACTTCAGCTCAGGTCATGATCTCACGGTCATGTAAATAAATCCCCATTTAAATTTGATTTATATCTAATTGCCTTTATGTATATATACATTTAGATTAAATGAAAAATATGGCATGGGACATATTTTACTATAACACTATTTGTTATTTATCTGAAATAAATTTTAACCACCTAAATTATATACCACTTTCCTTAATTTTATTTCCCGGATGATTGGCTCTCCTTAATACTTCCTTGCTTTGCCAAATTTGCTTATAAAGTTCCTGTGGTCACAGTCTATGTTCCACTTACACTGCAACATATCATCTACAGTGGTCACATTCAGTTTATTATTATTTTGTCCACCTATTTAACATCCGTTAATGAGAAAACATGCTCAATATTATCATTATAAGACAGTAATGTAAACATATACCAGCATAAAGCTAAAGTTCTGATGATTGCTCTTCAAATTTGATTGGTTGAAGCACATACCATCTTTCATGGCATGACTTGTCTTTTATTTATTTATTTATTTATTTATTTATTTATTTATGTGTTTGTTTGTTTCAGTAGGCTCCACACCCAACATGGGCTTGAACTCACAACCTTTCAATAAAGAGCCACATGCCACATGCTCTACTGACTGAGCCAGCCAGGTGCCCCCATAACTTGTTTTTTTTTTTTTTTTTTTAAGCATAGCACAGGAGGGGAGGGGCAGAGAGAGAATCCCAACCAGGTTCTGGGCTGTCAGTTCAGAGCCAGGTGGGCTAGATCTCAAGAACCATGAGATCATGACTTGAGCCATAATCAAGAGTCCATTGCTTACTGACTGGGCCACCCGGATGCCCATTGTTGTCCTTTTTTAGTTCCTTCTTCGATAATATAGGTGATTCTACTTATTCCCATGCTAGAAGACTATTTAGCAACATCCAGTAAAAAAACAAAACAAAACAAAACAACAAAAAAACAAATTCCTCAAAGGATAATATTGACTTCAAAACCTAGTTACAAGTGCTGTAGTAATTATCTACCTGAAGTTGGAATTTCTCTTCCTGTTCAAAAGTACGGTTGACCTTTTCACCAGCAGCCTTGCTAACAAAAGGGATAAAGTTGATACCAACTTCTTCCTTAATACACTCAGCAAATTCCTTTAAACAGTGGAGTACCGTTGAAAACCTTGTAGCTCTTCTTTCACTTTGCATAATCCTCTTACCAAACTGATTGAAGACAATGACCAAGAAATAGGGAGCTTTTACAGAATAAATTACACTAGTTCCCCCTTCTCTGGGATTTGGCTTTTCCGCAGTTCCAACTCCAGGCAGTCAACCCCGATCAGAAGCAGGGGCATCAGAAGGTCAATCCGTAGCCTGACGCCACGTCAGTGAAGTCACAAAGTCTGCGACACGCCCCTCACTTATCCCATTCGGTGACGTCACAAAGTCTGCGACACGCCCCTTCCGTGATCCCTCACACAGGCATTTTATCATCTCACATCATCACAGGAGGGGTGAGTACAGTGCGACAAGATGTTTTGAGAGCCAGCGACCACGTTCACATAACTTTTATTACGTATACTGCTATGATTGTTCCCTTTTATTATTTGTTATTGTTGTTACTCTCTTACCGTGCCTAACTTATAAATTAAACTTTATCGTAGGTTCGTACGTATTGGAAAAACATAGTATATGTAGGCTTCGGTCCTATTTGCGGATTCAGATGGGAGGTCGTAGGATGTATCCCGTATGGATAAGGGTGGGGAAACTACTCCATTAAAACTCAATAAGAGGGGTACCTGGGGGGGCCCAGTCAGTTAAGCCTCCGACTTCCGCTCAGGTCATGATCTCAGGGTTGGTGGGTTCAGGCCCCTCGCTGGGCTCTGTGCTGACGGCTTGTTGCCTGGAGCCTGCTTCCAATTCTGTTTCCTTCTCCCTGTGCCCCTCTCCCGCTCGCAGTCGGTCTCTCTCAAAAATAAATAAACATTTAAAAAAAAAAAAAACCTCAACAAGAATTAAGGGGTCCTTTTCTTCATAATTAAAGTATGATTTTATGCTTTAAGTGATAAACTGAGAATTCCTTCAAATGTGTTTGTTAGAACTGAATAATGCCAACAAAATCATGACGTTTTTAATTGCTCAGTACAAAGAGGGTATTGATGCTGATGGCATTAGTATACATGCTGAAGTAGGAGAACGGTTTCATAACAGTGTCATGACAGTGTCCAAAGAAAGAACATCATATGCTATCTGAGCAGCGTTAGGCAGACTAGGGCAGGACAGCCAACACTTTATGGAATCATTGTATGCTTTGCTTCAGCTTTGACTTTTCAGCACCTTTACGCAAACAACTGCGTGGTCTACCTCCAATTCAATGTATCTCATTAACTCTGGCTTATAAGAGAGTCTTTGCTACAATTTCCTAATGTTTCTGAAGTCTCATCTGGAAGGGATTTCATGGACAATGGCCTTGTAAGCAATCCTCTTTCACAAACATATTGCCCAATCAAGAGAAAAGCGTTTTCTGATTGTGGTTACTTGCATTAATGAATGTGGTTTTTACACTTTTTAGCATTGCTGTAGATTTTGTCCTGGCCCTTGATTTGATGTTTGTTTAGTATTTGCTTGCAATTTTGAAATGAGAAAATATTTCTGATAGCAGTACATTTAAACATTTGAGCTGAATGAGGATATAGACCATGGAAGGCCATTACAGCCTCTGCTGTGATTATTCTTCATCTGAATCTCTCTAAATCATTTTTAAAAAGTTACTTTATCCTTTTCTTTCTTACTGATTGAGGAAGTCATACATCTCTTGTGCTCAGCTGCTAGGATATGTTGCTTTGTATCTGACAGTATTTATAGTGAGTGAACAATTGTATCTTATACAAAAAGCTTCAAAGGATTTTTGTTTTCTTATTTAATAAATGTCCACTGTTCAGAAATTGGTCATAAAACTTTTTTTTTCTCACATTTGGGGTTTTAATTCTGTGCAAATTACGAAATTACCAATTTGCTTTATCAATCACTGCAGAATTTGAAGATTGAATTTGGTAGTCTTCTGACCATGTTGCTGCCATCCATCACTCACAAATCAACTCATCATGACCTGTAACCAGGAACGAAGAGTTGCAGACTTGCCAACTAGCAATGAATTGAACTCAGTTGAACTCTGATGCAGAAAAGGTAAACGTTCTGTTTGCCTACAGGGGAAATCTATACAGCTGACTCTTGAACAACATGGGTTGGAACTACACGTGTCCATTTACATGCAGATTTTTAAAGATAAATACAGTGTGGTACTGTAAATGTATTATCTCTTCCTTATGGTTTTCTTCTTCTTTTTTTCTTTTTTTTTAAAGATTTTATTTGTAAGTAACCTCTACCCCCAATGTGGGGCTTGAATTCACAACCCTGAGGTCAAGAGTCCCACGCTCTTCCGACTGAGCCAGCCAGGCGCCCCCTTATGGTGTTCTTAATAATATTTTTTTTCTAGCTTATTTTCTTGTAAGATTATAGTATATAGAATACATACCATAAGAATAGGTGCTTATTTACCGTATATGATAGCCATAAGGCTTCTGGTCAACAGTAGGCTATTAGCCATTAAGGTATTGAGGATTCAAAAGTTATGTACAGATTTTCGACTGCAGGGTCAGCGCCACTCACCCCTGGATTGTTCAAGAGTCAACTGTGTTTGTAAGACATTGTTTTCTTGAGAAAGCCAGAGTTGATCTTGTGTAAGGTTTTGAGAAGCTTGACATTCGGGGATCGGTGGGTTTTCAGAAGTGGAGTGTGTACAGATTGAAAGATTTTCAGCTGTGTTAGTGTGTTCACTGGAGAAAGGCTTCTGTCCACCAGCTAACCATGACCTTCAGGAGCTTGGCTGCTGGAGTGGGGTATTTTTTTGAATGGCTGTTGTCTCGAAGCGTGCATTGTCCCAGGTTGCTGACATTCAGGACTGGAGGTTTATCACCGAATGTCTTTCAGAAGCTTGGGCTGTTACTGATTTGCTCGCTTTTAGACACTTGGAGTAAGGCTGCTAACTGGCTGCTTTCCAGAAACAGGCCACAGGAGGGAGGCTACAACTGTTTGGCTGATTTTCAAAGCATGTGCACTCATACGAAGTTAACTCGAATTAACAATGCTTACTTGTTCACAGCTTGGGAATTTGGTCGAAGAATAGTCTTTTCTTGAGTATGAAAAAGAAATACTTTTCATTCTCAGTTCCTCTCTTTGATCTCCCTGCAGCCATACCTGCAGGAGAGGCCATAAGAGATGGTTGAGATGTTTGTGGAGTATGGTTTGCAGCTGGTATTGCCATGTCAGTGATGTAAGTACCATTTACTGGGGCAGAAAGATAGCTCTAGCTGCTGATTTTTGTAATTTCTTTTAAAAAGTTGAATACAGGGCACTTAAGGGGTCATGACAAAGTCAGTACACGGGCACAGTACAACACAAATACGGGGCATGTCCTGTATATACAGGATACTGGCAACCGCACCTAAATGTAATATTCTAGCTATAACATTAAATATAACAGCAAAAGACTTGCTTTCCAAATTTAAAAAAAAATTTAAAAATATCATCTCAATGGTCTGGGTTCCTTTAAAAACATAAGTTATATTGAGCTGATGTCTTCTTTTTTTTCTCTTTCTCCTTGAATCTCCCCAAACAACATAGAGATATTTAAGATCTCTTCTGTAAAAGGAGGCACTTAGTTTCTCTTCTGATGACGATGGTAATAATTTCCCACTAAAAGATTCTTAACATGAGGTCTGACTTTGCACTTAACGCTTCTGCTTTGTTTACCTCTTTGCCTTTTTCAAAACTATGATTCCATCGTCTCTATTAGATCAATAAATACCACCAGGAATATGATTAATGGGTAGTGCTGCATTTTAAAAACAGTAAGTCAAGAATTTCATATTTCTTTTTCTTTTTTAAAAAAAAAGATTTTAATGTTTGTTTATTTTTGAGAGAAAGAGACAGAGCGTGAGCGGGGCAGGGGCAGAGAGAGAGGGAGACACAGAATCTGAAGCAGGCTCCAGGCTCTGAGCTGTCAGCCCAGAGCCCAGTACGGGGCTCAAACCCACAAATTATGAGATCATGACCCCAGGCCAAAGTCGGACACCTAACTTACTGAGCCATCCAGGTGCCCCATTTCATATTTCTTTAGATGTTTCTTAAAACAGTTTATGCAGATCGTAAAGCAAAAGCATTTTTACATAGGCTTCAAGAAATCTCTCATAGATCTCTTAATGGAGATCAAATCATAACAATGTGGATATAAATGTGCTTCATTTTATGCTGTATGTAAATAATCTAAAATAAGAGTGTGGTTTAATGGAAATCTATTATAAGTAATTTTGTGAGACCCAACTGTAATTCCAGGAACCTGCAAGCCCATTCAGCAGATTCAATGGAGCAAAGGGGGGGTCATAGTTACTAGGGGATCCTGGGGTGCCTGGGTGGCTCAGTCGGTTAAGCGTCCAACTTCAGCTCAGGTTATGGTCTCTCAGCTTGTGAGTTTGAGCCTCGCCTTGGGCTCTGTGCGGACAGCTTAGAGCCTGGAGCCTGCTTCGGATTTTGGGTCTCTTTCTCTTTTTGTCCCTCCCCCACTCATGCTTTCTCTCTCTCTCTCAAAAATAAACATTAAAAAGTTTTTTATTTTTAATTGGGGAATCCTGTGCAAAGCAGCTGAGCAGGTTGGCCCTTCCCCCTTTTCCCCACTTAATATAAAGCAGAGGGAGCAGCTCTTGACCCCCACAGTGGACCCTAGGTCTGAAACCGCAGAGCAGTGCCCTAGAGAGCTGATGACTCTTGGGAGGGGTAGGAAGGACTCACACAGAAGACGCTGTTGGAACACCTCCTCCAGCTACATGTACTGCCCCACCCCACGATCCCTGGAGACAAGATGTAGGAAACAGAAGCTGAATCCACAGACATGTATACACAGAACCACAGGTACAAAGATAAGCACACAACCAAGAGTCACCATTGGAGTAATACTGGGAAAGAAAAGCATCAACCCCAACAACGAATCAACACTTGAAGAAAAGACTCCAAGATAGTTCTTTTTTCAAGTTTATTTAATTTATTTTGAGAGAGAGAGAGAACAGGGGAGGCACAGAGAGAGAGGGAGAGAGAGAATCCCAAGCAGGCCCCTCCCTGTCAGTCCAGAGCCTGATGAGGGGTTCGAACTCATGAGTTGTGAGATCATGACCTGAGCCCAAACCAAGATGCAGATAGATGTTTAACTGACTGAGCCACCCATGCAACCTCAGGTCTAATGAATATCTTTGGGTAATAAAAGAGGAATACAGGTATATATTCATATGTAACAACATACCCAATTATGAAAACAATCTTAGAAATCAAGAACATAATCATAGCACCTTTAAAACTTCAATAAGTGAGTTTTATAGAAGAATGGGCAGAGTTGAAGATTAACTCTGGGTAAGAAGGTCTAGATGAAGAATTTGCTTATAACCTAGCACAGTCCAGAAGTTCTGATGTCTACCTCAGAGGAGGGAAGATGGGAGGGAAAGAAGAGGGAGGGCTGCCAGAGGTAGGAAGTATCTAAAAAAATCAAGTCTTCAAAGAAAGGTTTAAGTAAAGAATTGATAAAAAATAAAATAAATAAGCAGTCTTTAGTAGCTATTAGCAAATTGTATATTTTTATTGTATACATTAATATATAAATATATACACATTGTATATATTTGTATATATATATAATGTATTGTATACATTAATATATAAATATATACACATTGTATATATTTATTCATAGACTTACCTTTAACACAACCTATTATTCTTCTCAGATAAATGGAAGAGTCAAATGACCAGACTGAGGTGGGAATAATATATAAGATGAAGCATTTTGGAGAGGTCTGAGCAGATTCTGTCAAATTGTGCCTCTAGGACTTGTTGACAGATATTGAAGTCTAAATAGATGCTGGGGATGAATGCTTTTTTTGAATGGGGAAAATACATGGGTCAGATGAAAATGAGAAGTGTGTGTTATATGAGAACAGATTCCAGACCCTTGAGTGCTCACAGATGAAACAGTTAATTCCTAAGCTTCTTCCTTTCCTGTCAAGTGTCTCATCCTATACTTCTGTTTGATGAGTTCTAGCATATTCATCTCCTTTCTTTTTTCTTTTTCCTTTCTTTTCTCTTCCTTCCTTTCTTCTTTCTTTCTTTCTTTCTTTCTTTCTTTCTTTCTTTCTTCTTTTTTGAAAGAGAGAGAGAGCACATGCTAGCAGGGGGAGAGAAGAAGGAGAGGGAGACAGAGAATCTTAAGCAAGTTCCATGCCCAGGGGAGCTTGACACAAGGTTCGATGCAGGGCTCGATCTCACAAAGTGTGAGATCATGACCTGAGCTGAAATCAACAGTTGGACACCTAACCAACTGAGCTACCCATTTGTCCCTATTCTTCTCCTTTCTAATGTGTTTTCTCTTTCTTCAGGATTCTCTTGCCCACCTTCATGACTGGAGGATTTTATTCCAATTTTATAGCCTAATAGAACTTCCCTCCACTGTGACATTCTCATTTCTTCTACAGTGTCACCTTTCTTACCAATGTTTTGATTATCATTATTTTTTAATGTTTATTTATATTTGAGAGAGAGAAAGGGAGGGGTAGAGAGAGAGAGTTGGACAGAGGGTCTGAAGTGGGCTCTGTGCAGGGCTCGAACTTAGAAACTAGGAGATCATGACCTGAGCCTAAATCAGATGCTCAACCAACTAACCCACTCAGGTGCCCCCCCCCCCCGTTATTTTTAATATATTAAAACTTTTTAGATATCTGATTAGGTAAAGCCATCAGGAAAATATTATTTTGATAAACATTTTAATATCTTGAATTTAGTTCATTGTAGGTGATGGGGGTTTAACATAATGTGCTTCAGAAACTCAAAGCTTAATTTATAAAAGATTAAGAAAATAAATGATCAGAAATGCTGCAAGCCTTATACATATTGTCACACAACACCTCTCAAGTGACAATATAAGTTAACAGGCATTGTCCTATATTATTGGTGACACATTCACCTTTATTGGATAAAATGGTCAGATAAAACCAGGCCCAGGTGCTTCTTGGGGGAAAATATGTAAGGCTTTATTTTTGTTTTGTAATAAGTAAGCAAATGAGTAAGAGAAAAAAGTTGAAGAATCC